TTCATCTGATGTTCTATTTATAGAGCTCCTCAGCTCATGGGTTTGGCCATTCAACTAACTCTGCCTTGGAAATCCTCCCGATGTTAATGCCTTCCGGAGCTCGAGGCGTGAACTACCCGATGTCTCGGAAATCTTCCCAATGTTAATGTTTTCCTGAGCTCTAGGCACGAGCTACCCGATGTCTCGGAAATCCTCCCGATGTTAATGCTTTCTTGTCTTTGAACTCCGCCACTTGTAGGAAAACATCTGCTAGAAAACATCTGCTGCAAAACATCTGCTGGAAACATCTGCTGAAAACATCTGCTGGAAACATCTGCTAGAAAACATCTGCTGGAAACATCTGCTGGAAACATCTGAACTTAGTTCCGTATGCTGAGCTTTGGACTTGATTTGACACTTGGTGAGAAGTTGTGAACTTGGAGCTTCAGACTTGGTTAAGGCTCCCACCAACGTTAAATGACATGTGAACTCCAAATATTTGGATATTGTCCGCGTGGGTTCCCCACTCGACCAGACCTCTTAGCCTTTTACTTGATATTGCATGAATGTTGGTCTGGCGTTGGCAGCATATGGCATTAGGCTTTGATTAATTATATATATATAACATCCCACATTTTGCAACCCACATTTTGCATCCCACACATTGCAACCCACACATTGCAACCCACATTTTGCATCCCAAGCTTTGCATCCCACATTTTGCAACCCACATTTTGCATCCCACACATTGCAACCCACACATTGCAACCCACATTTTGCATCCCAAGCTTTGCATCCCACATTTTGCAACCCACATTTTGCATCCCACACATTGCAACCCACACATTGCAACCCACATTTTGCATCCCAAGCTTTGCATCCCACATTTTGCAACCCACATTTTGCATCCCAAGCTTTGCAGCCGCTATTTTGCACCCAGCACATTGCAACCCACATTTTGCATCCAGCACACTGCAACCCACATTTTGCATCCAGCACACTGCAACCCACATTTTGCATCCAACATCCCAAGCTTTCCCACGTGACTTGCTGCTTCCTTTGTCCAAATGTTAGTCAACAAAA